CCTTCATGTAGGTAGGGAGATCAGAATACTGACGTAACAGTGAGGATCTGAGAGGAGACACCTGTCTTCTTTTGAAATCAATCAGTGTTCATTATCTTCATGATAAAGGGTTATGGCAAAATCAATTCTTAATAACCAACTCTAAATACTTAAGTCATCTAAATTTTTATTAATACTAAGAGCCTACGGCATTGTGCATTTTTTCAACAGTTAAAACATCCAAAAATCAGAGAGCTTCTATGTGCACAAATAATTTTGGACTCAGATGTAAACTAGGCCTTATTAATTGTAACCCGATTTCAGCATTCAACAAAGGAGAGATTAGCATAAATCAGTTAGATTAGTAATATATTTACAACCAATGACACTACAAAAAGCTTGCATTAGCTTGGAGATGATAGTTTCCTTTTTCTCACTCTGTGGCATACTTTTCTAGCTCACTCTTTTTAGCATTTTCTTAAATTTCCATCTGAAGAGTAAAGTGCTGCACTTGCAAACCTGGGAATAAATATTTCCTGTTTAGCCAACCCCACTTATGGTGGTTTTTATTTGTAACAGCTGTTCAGAAGATTGTATCCCAGTCACTTCAAAAGCAATTGACTACCGGCCTTTATTTCATAATGGTACAAAGCATAAATGTGTTTTTATGAAAGGTTTTGTGAATTACACATCCACATCAAACAGAACCTGTAGCATGCTAACACAAAAGAAGCTTTCGTCAATAACATTGGATTCCTCCCCCACACCTGCACTATTTTAGGTCATTCCTGATTGGGCTTGTGTAATTTTCTGTAATTAATATCGTTAAAAGTTTATGGCCATGCTGGATGGGGTTGTGCTTAATTTTCAGGTCCAAATACACGTGCGTAGTGCCAAAAAAATTGCATTTATTTTTACCAAAAATTGTTTTTGGAAATAGCACTCCTCTCTCTGAACATGAAACTGAACCAATATGAAGCTGACTGTAATGCAGAAAGGCCTTCCTTGCCAAAACCTATGCAAGAGTCAGGACTGGTAGATAGCTTGGGTTGGGCATTTTGTGTGGGTGGAGGGGGAGGAGGGACACTTTTATACATCCAAGTCACAGGCATCTAAGAATCCCCTTCTGGTTTTGTAGCACATTGGAGACCAAGTCTCCAAGAAACAGAAGAACTCCCTACATCCAAGTTAGCGCATCCTTCCGCTATTTCCCTCTCCATTCTCATAGCCTTATTTTTAGCGGGCAGTATGCAGTCTTCTGTCTTTGCCCAGAGACAACTAGACTGTCTAGTTGCCTTCCAAAAAGCATCGTCACCAACAGACTGCAAACTCCTCCTCTGCCCATTTATAACTTTCATTTAAATCCCTAGTTGTTTGTGAATGTAGGGATCAAGAGATAATTCTCTTTTGAAGTCCTGTCTAAAATACTGCCAATGGAGAGATTTTTTTAACCTGTCATAATTGAGTACGATTCTACTAAGTGCTGCAACTGGTCCTATGATTCAATGATTTTTTTAGCCTCTGCTGTAAATTTTTTATTTTATTTTATTTTAAGATGTTGACAAGATAATTTTTCAATGGGTGTTTAATCCCCAACCTCAGGGTCAATAAAACCAGAGAGAAGATTTGAGAGGGAGGCTATCAGTGGTACTTAAACTGATCCAGCTGTTCCGTGATCTAAAATAAGCTTGTTTTCACTTACCTCTGGAGTGGATGTTGCTCAGCATGCCAGGCATTGAGATGTGCCACCCTTCACCCTTCATTCTTGTTAAGTCCTCTGTGTCCTCTTCCCCTCCATTGTGTCTGCATCTTTCGACGCAGAAGCCCATCTCTAACCCCAACTGACATATTCCCAGTGGTGAGCTGGAGCCGGTTCCCACTGGTTCACTAGAACCGGTTGTTAAATTTAGAAGCCCTTTCAGAACCGGTTGTTCCGCGAGGGACAACCGGTTCTAAAAGGGCTTCTAAATTTAACCGGCCCAAAGTGGCGCCTTAGGTGTCGACTCCATGGGTGCTCCAGCCCTGGAGCACCCAAGAGGAAAATTTGGTGGGTGCAGAGCACCCACCGGCAGGTCCCCTCCCCTCCCCGCCCCAACCCCAGCCAAACAGCTGATTCGCGGGAAGCCAGGGGCGGGGGGGGGGTGAGGCAGAGAAGCAGAGCGGGGTGGTGCATTCAGGGGAGGAGGCGGAGGTGAGGTGAGGTGATCTGGGGCCAGGCGCGGGGCAGGGAGCTGCCAGTGGGTGCTCTGCACCCACCAAATTCTCCCTGTGGGGGCTCCAACCCCGGAGCACCCAGGGAGTCGGCGCCTAAGGCACCACTTTTGATGTGATCAGTGGGGGAGCAGCCACTCCCCCTGCTCCCCCCAAGCTACTGTCTCCCGCCCCTAGGAGCCAGAGAGACCTGCCGGATGCTTCCTTGGAGCTGCCCGAGGTAAGCACCACCAGGACTCCCCACCTCGCCCCCCAGCAGGTCCCTCTGGCTCTTAGGGGTGGGGTGGGCACCCACTACGGTGGCCCATGAGACCCTCCTACCCGGTTCTGGGGGCAGTCAGGGGACAGGGGAGGGGGTGGATGGGGCTGGAGGGGGGCTTCAAGGAACGCGGTGGGGTTGGATGGTGCAGGAGTCCCGGGGGGCGGGGGTGGACAACAACCCCCTCGTGGGGTGAGGAGGGAACCCGTTGTTAAGATTTTGGCAGCTCATCACTGCATATTCCCATTCCCTCTTCTTTAAAACAAATGTCTTCCAAGTGATCTCTAGCCTCTACTTTCCAGGGACTGACACAAAACAGAGATTGTTGTTGGGGATAATAGGGGGAAAATTAAAACAAAGGGTATGGCATTAATAGGACAGGTGCTAACCGTTGCTGTTGATATATTTTTTGTTGCATCCCATTCCCCAGCCTCTGTCTCCACAAATTATATTAATTTAAATTTTAAAAACTCGTTGAGATAGAGACCTTGTCCTCTGTCTGGTAAAGTATCTAAGCATTACATGCTTGACAGCACAATTGAGCATCAGTTGAGCATTCCCATAACTGATATGAAAGTTCCAGCTCGTCCAGTGTGATGCTGCAGCAAAAATGGCTCCTGCAATCTTTTGATGAATGAACAAGGGAGAAGTGAGTAGCTGTAGGGAGGTGATTTTACCTCTGTATATGCAAGTGGTGAAACCAGTACTGGGAAATTTCATACAGTTCTGGTGTCAACATTTTTTAAAGGATGTCAAAAAATGGAGTGGTGAGGAAAAGAGCCAGAAAAATTATTCAAGGCATAGAGAAAATGTCTGACAATGAGAGACTTAAGTTAAACAGATTGAGCACTTTATGAAAAAGCAGACTAAGAGGGGACTTGATTACAGTGTATAAGTACTTCCATGGGGGGAAAAACACCAGATACTGAAGGGCTCTTTAATGTAGTGGAAAAAGGCAGAACAAGGACCAATAACTGGACACTGAAGCCAGATAAATTCAAATTGGAAATTAGATACAATTTGTAAATAGTGAGGGTGATTAACCATTGAACAAACTACCAAGAGAAGTGGTGGATTCTCCATCTCTTGAGGTCTTCATATCAAGTCAGGATGCCTTTCTGGAAAATAGGATTTAGTCGAATGCAAGTTATTGAACTCAATACAAGGATGACCAGGTGCGATTCAAAGGCCTGTGATATACAGGAGGTCTCCCTCAATGATTTAATGGTCCCTTCTGGCCTTAAACTCTGACACTCTGAAGTGACCCTTTTGTTTTAACTTGGATACTGGCATGTGCAGATGCAATATAGAGAGGCCTGCAGCATATTTTTAAATTGGTATGTTAAAGCACAGTTTGAAAATGGATGATTGAGGCGATAATGGTGCCGTTTTCTAACTGGGTCACTGATTGTACCTGGATGTGCAATGTGGTATCCTACAACTTGTTTTCTTCCTTCCTTCTACCAATTCAGGACACTCCTCATTCTGGAAATATTTTGTTTTTCCATTTTTTGGAGTGACATCTATGCTCTTCTTATTCTTTTTCAGAGTCCCGAGTGTCTAGAGGACTATCTCCGGGCTTCTACTTGTTTTATGTCAAAATATCAAATGTCCTTTTTTCTGGCCTAATCCTGTCTGTGTGTTTGTGAAAGAGAGGCCTCATGGACAGACGACTGCTGTTGCTCCTGTCTCTCAACCATTTGCATTTGATGTTCCCTGCTCATTGCATTTTGGTGGGCCACCATATATCAGTATCACAGAGGACTTTTGAGCCAGGAAATGCACTGACTTTAAAAGGGCAAATCTTTTATTACATTGTCTCCTAGATCATAGTCAAATGTAGAACACGAGGAATGAAAAAAAACCCTTAATGCTTTTCTTTTAGAGTCAAAACTGTCCCTCTGTGGAGTCAGCCATGCCAAAACAAATGACCAGTACAAAACCACAAAAACAGGGTTTTTTTTTTAATAAAAAGAGAAACCAATGTTTATTGGGTGAGATTTTCTTTCGCCTATGTACAATAGTCATGCGTGAGCATTATGCCAACAGAAAAATCCAAACATCAAGAAGTTACTTCCAAAGTCCAGACAGTCCAAACAGCATTGTCCTTAGCTCAAGTCTAAGTCAACAGGAACAGTCAACAGTGGGGTTGATTTTGGTTTTTTGTTTTTTACACAACAAAATACCTGGCAGAATGACTGTGAGAGGACCTGACACATAATAACCTACAGTGGGACGTACGGAAAGCCATAAGACAACATATAGAGAATTTACACACGATAATAAGGTAAATAATTGTGTAAGAATCTCCTCCAAAAAGGGAAGTAGGGATAACTGGATGGGGTTTTTTGGTGGGGAGGGAGGCAGGAGGAGGGAAAGGAAAAAATAACCTGGGCTGTTCTCAATGTATAGACTATAATCACAGTGAAAATCAATCCTTCTAGCTCCAAATGCTGCCAGTTACCTCAGCCTGCATCCCTCCTCCCATCCCCACTCAATTCCTTTATCAACCTCATAATAAAAATTCTTTAAATCCAAACTTCATTCTATTCCCCCTCTGCTGTAGTTCTTGTCAACTTGTATTATATAAAAAGAACACAAACTTAGACATACCCTCAGCTAAAAGAAACACTCCCTCAGCTTCCCAGCATGAGGATTAATCACAGCTAATTATATCAATATCAAGTTGATGATACACATAACATCGTATAAACCCCATTAAGCAAACTCAGTGGCGATAACCATTGGGTGGGGTGGGGAAACAAAGGCAAATTGGCAACAGTTGTCTTCCATGTCATAGTGCTGTGAAGCCATTTCTTCCACTGTATGGCTTTAGTCTGCTTCGTGTCCATGGGAAAGATAAGACACGTTGTATATATACCTAATGACTACAGTGAACTGTCAGCCTAACAAGCCATGGCAGTGTGCTGTTTAGGACCATTGTTTTCATTACTTTGTTACCCATCATGCTTTTTTTTGAAGGGTGGGAAGATGGTGATAACAGATTACAGATCATATAAAACAAGAGTCTGGACCCCCTGAAAGATGCACTCATATTTAACTGCACGTTGCATGATGGAATTCCATCTCTCGCACACAGGGGTCTTCTCAGATTAATTTAGTTAGGGATAAGGTGTATAACCTAATATTGTGTAGAGGGAACATAGCACCTTAGAAATCAGATGTGAAAAAAATAATCCCTTTCCCCTCTCTTCATGCTATTGGAAACTGTTGGTTCCTCAGCCACTAATTCCTGCTTGCCATTGTCATGGGAGTAATTCCCACACTGGTCTCACTGGGGCTACAGACAAGAGTCAAACAAGCAGGATTTGGGTCTCTTTTTCTACCAGCCTAAGGTTTCAGGGTATTAACATCTTTTTCTTGGCCCCTTACAGTTTGCAGTATTTGTAGTTAAATTAAGCATTGTGGTCATCAGCCAACACTTTTGTGTCTTTCTGAGATCTTGCACCAAGGCTTTGAGACTCCTCACTCCTTCTAGCTCACTCAGACACCCAGGATAAAAGCCTAACTCTTTGATTTTGTTCTGAAAATTGCTTTATGGCTCCTGTGCTTGAAGAAGTCTACATTTCCCTGTGGCTCAGTAGATTTATTTTTTAAGGTTCACAATGAAGGGCAAGCGTGATGGGCAAACTAAACATCAGGTTAATAAGCTTGCTCTGTATCATGAGCATAATGGGTGAGTGCCAATGAGCCTGCAAGCTTGTATGGGCTTATTTGTCAGTTTGAATTTCTGGAAAAACAGTGTGTGAGCATGTTTGTAAGTTAATTTAGGGCTGGCTTGGCAGCCCTGGAGGCCAAAGTCTTTTGTAAAGGCACAGAACAGGCACCATACAGCACAGATAGTGGCAATGCCAGTTATCCCACCCTTAGCCTGTTACTGTACTAGCCCTGCATCTAGGGGGGACATGTTAATTCAGGCTCCGCGGCCCAGTCAGGGTATAGCTTCTCAAGCGAGACCTTTGACAACTGCCTGTTTATGTAACGTGGCCAGATGTCCACTAGGAACTGAACTGATTCAAACCAGTGGCAGAGGTGAATGGCTCTGTATCCCATTATTAAATCCTTTTAAGCCCCTCTTTACCATTCAAAGATTAGCCAAAAAATCTCAGGCGTCACCCGCTACAAAGAGGAGAAAATTAGGAGTAAACAAAGGATTCAGCCACAACTAATGTACACAGTAGGAGATGAACGACAAGAATAAAATTGGCTATTTATTGTACTTATACCCGCAGGTCTTTGAATGACTTCTCCAGCTGTCTAGCATGTTTGATCATAGAGCCATACAGACCTGCGTATTATTAGCGCTCACATTCAAAACCACTGAACACAAGCCAGCAAACATGGACAGTCGTGTCATGCCAAGATACCATCTCTAATTACCTACATTAATCTACCATGTCAATGCCTAAATCCACCGGCTTGGAGAGGGCCTGAAGATAAATATGGCCTGATTCCATCAAGTGCTCAGCCCCCTCAACTCCCATTCACTTGTGTAGGAATTGAAGGAGCTCAGCACGTTGCAGGAGATGCTCAGGACTTCACAGGATGGAGGTCTATAGGGAGAAGGGTGGATTAGTGAGACACCTTGGTGGGAGTGACTTGAAGAAATCCATTTACAGTTAAATACATGACCCAGTTTCTCCCTATTTCTACAAATTCTCCCTTCTACGAGAATTAGAAGGCAGTGCAGAAAAATTCAGGTATTTTGGAGTTTTTACGAAAGGGGAAAACTGGACAAAAACTGTGCTCAAGTGCATATCAGGTTTGGCTGCTTTATCTAGTCAGTAATAAACAATGAGTGACTCAATGACAAAATTCAGCTACTGATACCTGGGCAAAGGAAAACAGCAGAAGCTGCAGCTGCTCTGGTCAAATGGGCACAGAGACCTACACTACAATAAAAAAACCCCCTGAAGTACTAAGTGTCAGAGCACAAGGCAATTGACTTGGGTTAGTGGGGGTTGCGGCCCTAAAAGGAGCAGTGTAGAAGTCTGGGCTCGGGCTGTAGCTGAAGCTCTCAGACTCTCCCCTCCGCTCCCCCTGTCATGGGATTTCAGAGCCATGGCTCCAGCCTGAGCCCGAACGTCTACACTGCAATTTTTAGCAGTCTGAGCCCTGAGTCAACTGACATGGACCAGCTGTGGCTATGCCACAGATCTTTACTGAAGTGTAGACATACCATTAGGAGCTAAGACCTCGGCTGAATGGTATCACATGACACTAGATACCACACTCTATGTTGATAAATGCCACTGAGAAATTGGTTGACTCCCTGCTCTTTTTCCTGTAAGTTACAAACTCTCTCGGCCAAACCTTGGAAGTTCTTTCTAAGGTTTTAATCAATGACATTTTACCTAGGCAAGCTATTAAAAAAACACTGCAGAAGGATTTCAGGATTTGGCCTGATGGTTACCAAGGTCACCACTTTTAATACATAATCTATGAAGAAAAAACTTCCCCTAAAGACAAAATATAGCCAAGTAAAGACAGAGAATTAAGTTGTGTGATGGACAGATACTATACTAAGCTGAAGAATGTGCTTAAAAAAACCTCCAACCCTTAGCCTCAAAACTAGAGCTGGTTAAAATGTTTCTGATGTAACGTTTGTCATCATAAAAGGCTGATTTTACAAAATTGAAACATTTCATGGGAATGTATTGATTTTGTTGAAATTTTCTGCTGGAAATTATCATAATGTTTCATTTTGATAAGGTCAAAACATTTCATTATAACTCTCATTTTGACATTTATATTATATTTAAATTATAATAGTCAAAATGTTTTGAAGACAATATTAAAGTCAAAATTGAAACATTCTGACTTTATCAAAAGAGCAACTTTATTGAAATGAAATCTTTCTATAAGGTCAAAACAAGCTATTTCACTTCCTAAAAAATTCCAAAATTTTGACTTTTTCCCTAATTCAGGATGAATCCAAATTTTAAAATCTCAAAATTTCCTGGAGGACAGAAATTCCGCTTTTTATTTTAAGATGTTCTACCCAAAACAAACAGTGCCAAGAGGATTATACAAACCACAGACTCTTTTGGTAGAGGTGAGTCTCTCCCACAAAGCTGGAGAGAAGAAGTTGAGTGCTCTTGCATGAAGAGGTTCAACAGAGACATGGAACATCTTGCTCTCAACCAAGTTTACATTTCACAGAAGCAAAGGATATACTCAAAGAAAATGCTGAGGCAAATCTTTAGAGAAAAAATGTCATGTGGCGAACAGGGGAGAATGACGTTCCGAACTGAAGAGAGCCTGAAATGGCCATAAAGTGAAACATCACCGAAGGAAGTGAGCTGGCAAAACAGAACATATATTTAAAGATGAGAAATCTTTGGATTAATTTTCCTGCCAATTTCATTGGAAGCAAACACACTTCTATTTGGACTCATGTGATGCAAAGTGGAGAGTATGCATAAAGCCGTTGGAATCTGGGAGACATCACAGGGAACCCTGCTTCAGTTTTTAATGCAGGGCTCTTGTAAGTAAATGTGTATCATTCAGTGGGTCAGATCCCACCAATGTAGTAAAGCAAAATAGTTGCATTTTTTGAACAGGCAAATAAAGTGGAACTGTTTGGCATAGATAGTTTATAATAAAGAAATAATACATGCCAGATTAGGGCCTCTCACTTGCCCAGCTTTTGCTACCCATTTTAAAAGGAGCTATTCCCCAGAATAACAATCCCTGGCTCAATCCACCTACTTTTAGTGTTCTGCTCTGTCAGCAATAAAGAATTCCAATGGGCAGCATGAGACAGGCCTATCACGTGACAGATCTGTGACTGACTTCCCTCAGCAAGTGTTTTAAGCATCATTCTTCTTCCTTACTGTTTATATCTACCTTTCCTCTCTGGATATGTCACTTTTAATTCAACCATCTCTAGACCTGGCCTACTGTTACCCCTAGCATGTACTCAAGGCATATCTACTTCCTGGTGTTTACACTCCATAATATTGGTCATGTCTCATACAATTTTATGGGCAGTAGGATACACCACAAGTTTGAGGAAAAATAGCAATACTTCTAAGGAGAAACAGGGAGGGGCAAAGGCAAAATGACCATGAACTAATGTAAAAGTATTTTCCTATCAGGCCTGGTGGTTTTTCATATTCTTAGTTCACTGATTCAAAGGGCAACAGTCCTCAGGTTATGAATGGACTCATTTTCAAAAAGGATGGGTCTTATCAGGATGTCACTGAATAAAAAATTACTGGAAAAAATGATCCAGATAGAGCCTATAAAATATGTTACAAATTATTAAGATCACCTGCCTCTTCTGAATGACACGATATAGGTGAATCTTCCTCAAGGGAAGAGGGCCCATGCGCCAAGGAAGGCTCATGGACACAGTCTTGCGAGGTGCTGAGTGCCCTCCGCAATCACTGACTTTAATGGGATGTAAGGGGCCCTGGCAGCAAGTTTTTAGATCAGACTCTTAGTATATGACCAAAGTGGTGCACAGGGCCTTCTGCAGGACCTCTGTACTTGACAGAGTGAAATTTGCCTCCATATATTTTATGTTTTTGTTACTAGTAATTGCAAGTATCTACTGCAGCTCATAGTCTTGTATCTTTTGTATATTAATAACTTGAGAAAGTCAGACATATGTTAAATAGTGCAAAATGCTGACCATATAGCAACACATTCTGCATTAGCGCTTTAACATGCTGTTTTTAAAAAAAGAAACAAAGACAATGATCAGATACATTTAACATGAAAAGTGGAGGTGTGTTTCTAATCATTCTAATGAAACTACCTGTTCCATTACGTTAAATGAAAAAGGATGGCTTGTGTATCTTTATTTTAACTCATGATTTAATTTAAACATATAGCTTACTTAAAAAGAACTGAGTTGATTACATTTCCAATTTAAAGCCTAGGTATCATCAATAGGTGCATCCTGTATTTGGATGGCTGCTCGCACTGCTGTAGATATACTGGTAATAGAAATGCACTGAATGAATGTGTGAAATCCAGTCTTTGTGTGTTTGCCTAGCACTCAGTACATGCAATTATGATAGCTGTAAAGGGAAAGAAAAAATGAAACGATTTGCTTACTTTAGTACTGTAGCAAATAACTGTGTTGACAAGGTCACCGTGCTAAATTGACATCGTCAGCACCATATCCAACTGCTAAAAATCCACCAATATTTGCATGGTGATGTCTGTAAGAACCTCTTTAAAGTGTCAGACTCATAATTTTTTCCTCTGGCTTGTTTAATAAGCAATTTATTTTTAAATTAAGAATCCAATGTGCTTTAAATTTATCCAGGAAAAAAACAGAGTGCTATTTCTTGCTTGTGGTAGACATGGCCAGCTTCACAAAATGTAGTCTATTTCTGTGTTATACACATGACTCTTGTTAAGCCAAATAACAATTCCTTTTGTTATCAGATGCTAATGAGACTTGTTGTTTACAGTGTTAAGTGATCAATTGCTTTTATTCTGAATCGCACTGATTCAGAGCTATAATAATCAGGATAACATAGATATATTGTAGTAAAAACAAATGTATAAAAATCTTCAAAAAATGTATGCACTGTGCTAGCAGATTATTAAAGCTCCAGATATTATTTAACATTTAATGGGCTGAATATAAATGATATTGAAAAGAAACCTTTGTTGATCAAAGAAGGGTTTAACCATTTTAATGTTTATGGATTTGTTTTGAAAATATTTTTAATTGGGTAATGTCAAACTTTCCTATTATAATTCTGTATGCATTAGCATGTCAATAGATTATACTTCCAACTCTTTTTGACATAAAATAATTTATTTTTAAATCTTGGATCTTGTTATCTTTTTTTCTTGTTGCAACTATTTTTCAATAATTTGATTAGCTTTTAGAAGAAAAACAACAGCAACCACAGGGGATTTTGTAGTAACGATAGACTATATATTTCTTCTCCAAAAGCAGCTCCTATGCCTTTGAAAATAATGTGAAGTTTTTTTAATCAGTGCAGAATTAAGGAGTAATGTTGTCTACTTTGCTATGTTTAGTGGAATGCAGTACTCTAGATGTTTGTCAGAGAATGCTTTGAATCGTATGTTATGTGACTATAACCAAAACTAGAAAAGTGATTTTTAGAATTTTTTGCACTGCTTTTATTAGCCTGGTAAAAAGAAAAATCCCAAATATGGATCAGCCAATAGTTTAACAATTGGTTAGTGAGATGTATATTTTTCACATTGCTAGCAGCACTGAAGTCAATGATCTCTAGTTTATATTTTTATTGCAAATAGCTGATCTGGACATTTCAACCAAACCTGAATAGATCATGTAGGTTTCAGCGTAAAACTATAAATTCAGAGTGATGAACTCTACACCTAGTAAAGTGATCGTCTACTTTCAATAAAAACAAAAACAGATTACAGTTGATCATTTAAACATAACTGCTTGTAACAGTCACCAAGCCACTACAGTCAGGTATATAGACAGCCCTTAGGAGACATGCTGCCTATCTGATGACATTTAAAGCTTTAAAAAATCCCTTCTAGATACTACAGAAAATCATCATGATTCAGCATAGGATGTTGGTGTCACCAAATGAAACAAAAGTGTTTAAATCATGTGCACTGGAAATATTGCCATTAAACCATGTATGGGTCCAATATTGCAAACCCTTACTCATATCAGCAGTCCCATGGGCTTGAGTGGGAGTACTAATGTGAGTAAAAACTACTTACATAGATGAGGTTTGCATGACTGTGCCCATAACTGAAGCAATGATCAGCAATGCCTTTACGTGTTGATTTTAGCAGTATAAGAAATGATACACAATTTAAATTTCACATTTCTGTTTTATGTCCTATTTTCAGTCTATAATGGTGTGATCGGAGAGCTAAGGCATAAAGCTCCCTTAACTTTTAGAGTTGTTATACTATGTAAATATAAGCAGATAATGCTGTTTTAGTAGATGAAATAAATTGTATGTCATTTTTATTAAACCAACAATAAAATAACTAGACTGTATTATTACAATAGAAGTATAGAAGACCAACAATTGTACAATTGAAACTCTTTAGCAAAATTTGTTTCTATTATGTATATCCTTGTAAATGTAAATAAATTTAGCATTATGAAGTGTTCACAATGATTGCTTCTTGTTAATTTAAGGAATTTTCACCCCTTGTTAAGGCTAAATGTAATTAAAATTTAGAAGTACTGGTAAAAGTTTATTACACTCTGTTTTTTATGAGATTTTAACTAAAAGATGTACGTTACACCTGTATGTGACTTATAATGGCTTCTCAGCAGGGAATGCAGAACCACTTACATTACATAAACATTTAAAGAGGAGAATGCTAATACACTGAAAAAGTTAAACATCAGTAGCAATCTATCAAATGAAGACATTTCATGAAGTCCACTCTCTGGGAGAACATTCACCATGTGACAAAAGCCTGGCATCCTCGTTAGTCTGATGTTCATTTAATTTTAAAATCAAAATAGTTAAATGAGATAAATAGGATCTTAAGAAAACTGACATCTTCCTTCTCAGGTAAAGGCCAGAATTGAAATAATAATAAAAAATCCAAACAGATTGCTTAACAGGCAAATTTACATACTGTCTCTTTATAACACTGCATGCCCAAAAGCCTTTTGGGTTCGGAATGTAGCACTGCATCAAGTATTTCACAAAGCCCCTAAATATCACAAGAAGCTTAAAAAAAAAAAAGAAAGAAAAAGAAAAATTCCAGTTGAATGAAACTGTTTTAGCAGAGTGCTTCAACTCAGCTCCTAGAACTGGAATTTCAGATAAACAACAGAGGACAGGAACAGATTTTTTTTTTTTTTTAACGTGTCCTTTTGTAATGCAGCTACAAGGTTTCTGATGAATTTAAGAACAAAGAGATTGAGAGTGCAATTGTCATCAATATGAGCAGTGTGCTTAGACTGAAGCTTGTAGGAAGAGCAGATGAATTCTCTGATGATATGTGACTTGTGGAGACTCTGACTGTGTTGTCCTTCCCAATAGCATTCTGCAAGAGACAACACTTTCTTTGGTCATTGTTAAGCATTTTCATTATACTGTAATATATTTAGATGCACTTAATAAAATTCATCCTGCCAGGTTCTCCCCCTCCAATTTCATGTATTTCACCATTATGAATTTAAGTATATGAGAAGGATAAAACAGGATGTCAAAAAGACAGTGGTATTAAAATACAATTTGACTGTAACTATCAAAACACATTTAAGGGACACCATCAAAGTAATCAGGTAGGGAAAAAAAGAATAAATAAAAATGACACACTTTGAGAGCGAACCCAGTTGGAAGATCTAACCTTCTAAAATCAAGCACTGTTTTAAAGCGATCTGTGTTCAACTTGGAAATTCATTTTTAAAAAGCAGATGCAGGACTTGCTATGAAATTTGTCTTGTGAAGCCAACCGCAAGCATTGTTTGAAAATGAAGTATTGTTGGATTCCTATTGGTAAGAACCACCATCAGAGTAGGTTTATGGGTTGGCCTAGCAACAGGAGCAATGTCCATTTAGTTTCTTTTCCCAGTTGCTGCATTGTTATAAGCCCATGTGTTTTCATGATCAAAAAGTACGAATGCTACATACAATATGCAGCTATACATTATACACAGTAAAATAACAGGATAATATTAGGGGCAGATTGGCAGTTTATGTGCAGGTACACGGGACAGTACACAAGGAATATTCTTTAACCCCTGAGCCAGCAGAAAGGTTACAGATTAGTTTAGTTTCCATGAGAGTCAATCTTCCACCTCTAGGGATGGTCCTTATTGGTCAGGTTTGAAGCAGGCTGGTGGAACAGCATAGGGAAAGGTTCCAAGTCTCCAGGGACTGTCAATCTAGCTCCTAATGTATTATATAACTCTCATTTCATTTATCCTAAATCAGTATTCTGTCAGCCATAAAATGAAATCTGCTGTATTTCTGGGACTTGGTAAATGCCATATGATTACATGTTCCTGCAGATTACTAGCTAATTACACTTCCTAGGTGCAACACTAATTACTATTTGACCTGCAAAATCAGTTTTTGGGAAGCCAAGTGGAAAGAGGTCTCGGAGGGAATCCCAACAACTATGTAGGAATTAAAATGTAATTATCTCACCACTGCATGGTACCAGGGTAGCAGCCACTTTGCACCCAATCCTGAGCTCCTCACTCAGGCAAAACTCCCTTTATTATGATAACTTGGTACCCAGCCATGATGATATTGATGGGAATTTTGTCTGAGGAAAGGGTTCAGGATTGGGTCCTGGATTATTACATTTCAGATTGATATTTGTATTATGAAAAATAAAGTACTACTGTGATACGGTCCACATTCTTACCTCATTAAGACAGAGTTCTGTGTCTACAGATTCATTGGATTTCCGCTTCTGTGCCTATATAGACAAATGCAGAAGTTACACAGTATATATCTATATTTATACACGTAATCTGGATATTTCTGTTTGAATAATCTTTTCTTGATTGTTCTGTTTCATGTTAACATGCCTCTATAATAAATGAGTAGGAATGAAGAGCAAATAGTAAAACAACAGTCTTGAAGTAACAATATAATCTCAGTGCTTGTCTACATAAAGCCTTAGTGGTTGGCAAGACGGGGTGTGACTCTACAGCCCAATAGCTAGCCATTATATTTCAAATGGTAGTTCATCAAAACACACAAAGGAAATTTTAATGTGCAGTAGACGGGTCCACATGCCCAGTGAGTGCGTGGCAAACTAGTGCACTGCAGATTTACAGCCTGGTTTACAGCGCATTAAATCTCCGCGTAGACAAGCCCTTGCAGTTTTAATCCCCGCTGTGAATTTAAAATACAGATTTTGAAAAAGCCAGTAAGAATAAGGGCATAAGGCACTCAGCTAATACTGTGATGAGGGCCACAGAAATGCCCACATATAAACTGGTTTCAGAGGAACAGCCGTGTTAGTCTGTATTCGCAAAAAGAAAAGGAGTACTTGTGGCACCTTAGAGACTAACCAATTTATTTGAGCATAAGCTTTCGTGAGCTACAGCTCACTTCATCGGATGCATACTGTGGAAAATACAAAAGATGTTCTTATACATACAAACCATGAAAAAATGGGTGTTTACCACTGCAAAAGGTTTTCTCTCCCCCCACCCCACTCTCCTGCTGGTAATAGCTTATCTAAAGTGATCACTCTCCTTACAATGTGTATGATAATCAAGGTGGGCCATTTCCAGCACAAATCCAGGTTTTCTCCCTACCACCTCCCACAAACCCACTCTCCTGTTGGTAAAAGCTTATCTAAAGTGATCACTCTCTTTACAATGTGTATGATAGTCAAGGTGGGCCATTTCCAGCACAAATCCAGGGTTTAACAAGAACGTCTGAGGAACGGGGGGCAGGGGAGGGGTGTAGGAAAAAACAAGGGCAAATAGGTTACCTTGCATAATGACTTAGCCACTCCTAGTCTCTATTCAAGCCTAATTTAACTGTATCCAATTTGCAAATGAATTCCAATTCAACAGTCTCTCTCTGGAGTCTGGTTTTGAAGTTTTTCTGTTGTAATATCGCAACGTTCATGTCTGTAATCGCGTGACCAGAGAGATTGAAGTGTTCTCCGAGTGGTTTGTGAATGTTATAATTCTTGACATCTGATTTGTGTCCATTTATTCTTTTACGTAGAGACTGTCCAGTTTGACCAATGTACATGGCAGAGGGGCATTGCTGGCACATGATGGCATATATCACATAGGTAGATGTGCAGGTGAACGAGCCTCTGATAGTGTGGCTGATGTTATTAGGCCCTGTGATGGTGTCCCCTGAATAGATATGTGGGCACAGTTGGCAACGGGCTTTGTTGCAAGGATAGGTTCCTGGGTTAGTGGTTCTGTTGTGTGGTATGTGGTTGCTGGTGAGTTTTTGCTTCAGGTTGGGGGGCTGTCTGTAGGCAAGGACTGGCCTGTCTCCCAAGATTTGTGAGAATGTTGCGTCATCCTTCAGGATAGGTTGTAGATCCTTAATAATGCGTTGGAGGGGTTTTAGTTGGGGGCTGAAGGTGACGGCTAGTGGCGTTCTGTTATTTCCTTTGTTAGGCCTGTCCTGTAGTAGGTGACTTCTGCGAACTCTTCTGGCTCTATCAATCTGTTTCTTCACTTCCGTAGGTGGGTATTGTAGTTGTAAGGCTGCTTGATAGAGATCTTGTAGGTGTTTGTCTCTGTCTGAGGGGTAGGAGCAAATGCGGTTGTATTGCAGAGCTTGGCTGTAGATGATGGATCGTGTGGTGTGGTCAGGGTGAAAGCTGGAGGCATGTAGGTAGGAATAGCGGTCAGTAGGTAACGTTTACGTGAGCATCGTTTATTAGCACTGTAGTGTCATAAATATAAAGGGAAGGGTAAACTCCTTTGAAATCCCTCCTGGCCAGGGGAAAGCTCCTCTCACCTGTAAAGGGTTAAGAAGCTGAAGGTAACCTCACTGGCACCTGACCAAAATGACCAATGAGGAGACAAGATACTTTCAAAAGCTGGGAGGAGGGAGAAAAACAAAGGGTCTGTGTGTCTGTCTACATTCTGTCTTGGCCGGGGATAGACCAGGAATGGAGTCTTAGAACTTTTAGTAAGTAATCTAGCTAGGTATGTGTTAGATTATGATTTCTTTAAATGGCTGAGAAAAGAACTGTGCTGAATAGAATAACTATTTCTGTCTGTGTATCTTTTTTGTAACTTAAGGTTTTGCCTAGAGGGGTTCCCTATGTTTTGAATCTAATTACCCTGTAAGGTATCTACCATCCTGATTTTACAGGGGGGATTTCTTTATTTCTATTTACTTCTATTTTTATTAAAAGTCTTCTTGTAAGAAAACTGAATGCTTTTTCATTGTTCTCAGATCCAAGGGTTTGGGTCTGTGGTCACCTATGCAAATTGGTGAGGCTTTTTATCCAACATTTCCCAGGAAAGGGGGGGTGCAAGTGTTGGGAGGATTGTTCGTTGTTCTTAAGATCCAAGGGTCTGGGTCTGTAGTCACCTAGGCAAATTGGTGAGGCTTTTTATCAAACCTTGTCCAGGAAGTGGGGTGCAAGGTTTTGGGAAGTATTTTGGGGGGAAAGATGCGTCCAAACAGCTCTTCCCCAGTAACCAGTATTAGTTTGGTGGTGGTAGCGGCCAGTCCAAGGACAAAGGGTGGAATATTTTGTACCTTGGGGAAGTTTTGACCTAAGCTGGTAAAGATAAGCTTAGGAGGTTTTTCATGCAAGTCCCCACATCTGTACCCTAGAGTTCAGAGTGGGGGAGGAACCTTGACATGGTGGCATAGTGGTGGGATTAACCTGAAATCAATTTGAGATCCAGTTGAGATTTTTTGAACTAGAAATACAGATTTTAAAAAGGAAATTTTTTTTCCTTTGGAGCTGCTGGAAAAACAGCTTGTTTTCTCTCTGCTTTGGAGCCAGAGCTGAGACAAAAGGGGATTATCTTTGTGAATTGCAGGTTTTCTTTGCCTGGAGGCAGGGTACTTAACTCCTGCAGGGAAATTCACAGTCTTCCAACCCAGAGTTTTTTTTTTCCCTAAAAGTAAATAGGGAGGGGGATGTTCTACCCATTTGCCTGGAGACAAAAGTGGCAGGGTTGTTTTTTTTTTAGGATTTTGATTTTTTTGTTTTACAAGGAGCACAGGTTTGAAAAGGAAATTTTTTTTTTCCGTTGGGCTGCTGGTGAGCAGTTTTCCAAGTAGTTGGAGGTTTTTTGCTTTGATTTGGGCCCAGAGCAGAGACAAGGGAACAATCAATCAATATCAGAGAATAGGTATTCTATTCCAGCACAGCCAAATTTTACAGCCAAGTTTTGTTTATTTCTAAACCTTGAGTGTAAAGTTAGTTAAAACAGAGAGGTTAGAATGACAAAATCCACGGCTCGACACAAGCTGGAATTAGCCAGATTTCAAGCTGCGGAAAGACAAAGGGAACATGAAAGACAGATAGAACTCATGCAGCTGAAGAAGGAACAAGAAAGGGAGGCAGAACAACACCAAGCGGCTGCTCACAGGAGAGCTATGGAAGCAAGGGCCAAAGAACTGGAGGAGAAGGAAAAAGAGAGGAAGCATGTGGAGGAGGTGGAGAAGATAAAGGCTCAGCAGAATATCCCAACAAACCCTAGTAATCCTTCTCCGAGTACCACTTCCCATCCCAGAAAGTTCCCCACCTACAAGGCAGGCGATGATACTGAGGCCTTCCTAGAAAACTTCGAAAGGGCCTGCCATGGGTACAACATCTCTACTGACCAATACATGATAGAGTTGAGGCCGCAGCTCAGTGGACCCTTAGCTGAGGTGGCAGCTGAAATGCCTAAAGAACACATGAACAAATATGAACTGTTTAAATCCAAGGCGAGAGTCAGAATGGGGATAACACCCGAGCAGTCTCGTCGGAGGTTCAGAGCCCTAAGGTGGAAACCAGACGTGTCATTTACCCAACATGCCTACCACATTGTGAAACATTGGGATGCCTGGATATCAGGAGCAAGTGTTGAATCTCCAGTAAATTTGCCCTTCCTAATGCAAATGGAACAATTCTTAGAGGGTGTTCCTGAGGAAATAGAAAGATACATCCTAGACGGGAAGCCCAAAACTGTAATCGAGGCAGGAGAGATTGGAGCCAGATGGGTGGAGGTGGCAGAGAAGAAGAAAACTGGTCGCAGTTGGAGCGGAGACCAGAAGGGACAACCCCAGACCACACCCTATTACCGGGGGCCACCCAAGGCCCCACCTACCTCCCAAAGAACCCTCCAGACCCCTTATCGTCCCACCACCCCATTCTCCTGCAACCCACCTCGCCCCGTGACCCGTCAGCTGGACGATGTTTTAAATGTAATGAGCTGGGGCATGTAAAGGCCAACTGCCCCAAGAACCCCAACAGATTACAGTTCATTGCACCGGAATCACACCAGAGGTCCGCAGGCCCAGATACCTCCCAGATACCCTTGGAGCGGAGGGAAACTGTGAGTGTGGGCGGGAAGAAGGTCACCGCGTGGAGGGACACCGGAGCACAAGTGTCAGCTATCCATGCTTCCTTAGTGGACCCCAATTTAATCAACCCAGAGATCCAAGTGACGATTCAACCCTTCAAGTCCAACTCTTTCAATTTGCCTACAGCCCAGTTGCCTGTCCAGTACAAGGGCTAGTCAGGAACGTGGACTTTTGCAGTCTATGATGATTATCCCATCCCCATGCTGTTGGGGGAAGACTTGGCCAGTCATGTGAAGCAGGCCAAGAGGGTGGGAATGGTCACCCGCAGCCAGGCTAAACAAGCCGTGAGGCCTAGCTCTGTTCCGGAAACTTCTATCAGGACCCGGTCAAAGGTGATGGACCCGGACCCCAGGCTAATGTCTGCAACAGCAGTAGTGGATCCCGTCCCAGAGACCC